TCTATCTGAATCCAAGGCTAGCGCTATCTCCATCACTTCGACAATCATCTGATTCAAATAACACACACATTTCACCAATGAGGACGCTGAGGCCACGAAAGTTAAATTGCTTGCCTAGGGTCATGTGGTCCATACCCCCATTCTGTGCTCTTTCCTCTACTCAAACGGGAAATGCCCAGGAAGGTGACAAGGTGAGGAGAGGATCCTGAGCCAGGGAGGTGAGTGCTGCCTGTTTTTTTCCCATCACCCTCTCCCCATTTGTCACAACCTGTATGTTTAAATTTTGTATTTAGTATTTACTCTGAAATGCCTTTCATCTGATTTTCCCCCCTTGCTCACCAATTTAGCTGTCAGAGTAAATAAATGTGAAGTTGGGTCTCCAGCCTCCCCCAGCTCACATTACCTTCCTAGAATTACTCCCCGGCGGGGCCGAACTGCTGCTAGAGGCGCTCCCACAGAATTATCCAGTTACTAATGAAACCTCTTTTTAAACTCAAACCTTGGACCTCGACTCAGGTGGAGGAGGATGGCAAAACTCACCCCGGAGGGTGAGATGACCACTTCCCATTCAGTGACCAGGAGAAGGACTGAGGTGAGAACTAGATGAGATGACATACACGCAGGGTGCACAGGACATGTACATATCAGATGCTGATGACATCGTATACATAGACCACTTACAACCTTGAACATGTAAGATGCTTATACGGTGCCAGGAATGGAGGCAACACTTTTAAAGCAGTAGTATTTAATATATGGTTAATTGTCACCACAATCCTGAGAGGTGAGGACTGTTATCCCCTTGTTGCAAGTAAGGAAACTGAGGCTCAGAGACGCTAAGTGACCTGCCCACAGTCTCCGTTAGGAAGAGACCAAGTATCCTAAGAGACTGTGCTGAGTTTGCTAATCCTGACTTTGCTAAGGTCACTCCTATCCGGACTCTCCTGCTGGAGTCAGGAGTTTCTCTTCCAAAGTAATTTCACTCCTGTCCTCTTTGAAGTCAGGCAAGTCCTAGGTTGAAAGAATGGTTCTGCAGTTATTCAGAATAGTTGATTATTTGGTTAATTTACATCCTGCCTTCCTCCATAAAAAAAAATTGTTGTGGCACCTATTAGAATAACAACTGAAAAATGCAGCCAGTCCATACTGCAGCAATGGCTAATATTTATTGGTTGATTTCTGTGTTCTGGGCATGGTTTGAGCCCTTTTTCATGCTCATTTGCTTAATTTTCACAAGCACAAGAAGTGGACTCTGCTATCATCCCCACTTTACAGATGAGGAAACTGAGACTAAAGAGTGGCTGAATAACTTGTCCAGGGTCCTCCTTGTAATAAGGGACAAGGTCAAGATTAGCACCACTGCAATCTGACTCCAGAGTCCTTGTGCTTCCCTACCAAATTTAATGCCTATTATTCTGGTTTTGATTTTCTGAGCGCCATATCAGAATTCAGGAGCAGAATAGTAGGTAAGAGTTTGGGTTTTGGAGTCTGCGTGCTAGAGCTTGAAATGAGGCTTCCGTAAGCTTGTTTTCTCAACTATGAAGTAAGTATAATAATACAACCTCCATACAGGGTTGCTCCAAAGGGTAAAGAGCGTAACGCATGTAAAAGAGTGCTTGGTACAGAAATGCTCAATAAACAGTGATTGTATTATTATTATTATCACTCAAGGAGCATAAGCTTTACATTCCTTCTCAGGACTGCAACAGCTTATTTGTCCAACCTCTGAATCTTGGCAGGCATCTCTATACCTAAAATACTTTCTTCTCTCTCCTGAATCCACCCATCTTTCATCTGCCCTTTCATTTCAGCTCAAGTGTCCTCCACATCTCTTGCTTGCAAAGCCAGTACCAACCTCATGGCCTCTTCTTTCCTGGAGTCCTCCCGCACTCACACATCTGACATATGTGCAGCTTTGTATAATATTCAATGACCTCCCACTCCCCCCAGCTACTCAGAAGGGGAGGAAAGAAGGAGATAAGGTCTCCCTATCATTCCCATTTTGTAGATGATGAAGCAAACTTAGCCCATAAATGGTGAGGCCAGGAGTCATACCCAGGTCTTTTGACAGAGAATATGGAAAAGGTGTGTGTGCATATGCATGTCTGAGTGTGTATGCATACAGTGGACATGGTCATGTATGTAGCCTAGAAATCAAGAGCATGAACTCCAATGTCAAAGGAATCTGGTTTTGAGTTCCCGGCCCTGATCATTATTAGCCACGTGGCACCGTTTTGGACATATTACATGATCTCTCTGAACCTCAGTTTCTTCATCAGTGAAATGAGTACAATAACAGACACTGCCTCCTGGGTGACTGTGAAAAGAAAAGCCATGATTGTAAAATGCCAAGCCTCCCATGAATCAAAATACTGAGGAGTAGCAGCTGGGTTTATTATGTACAAAAAAGATACTTGAAGAGAAGGTTGTTCATCTGTGGACTGTGGATGTTTTAGGGTGCGTGTGTGTGTGTGTGCACATATTGTGTGCATATGTGCACACACACACATGCAGCCTTCACATTGCAACTGTGCTCTTACTAGAAAAGATTTGGGTCCAAAGAGAAACTTTTCACTGTGAATGTCTGTGTCAGAGAGCAATAAATGGCTGAGATGCAGGAGGTGTGAGATGCCACTGGCCAGGACTGGAACCATTTCTGTGTACCTTGGTGTCTGTAAAGGAACAGATATTTGTATCTTTCGAGGATGCTGGTGTGAGACTTTAGTATTACACAGATGCCATTGTCTGCCTGTGTCTGTTAGAATGTGCCTGTGTGTGTGCATGACTGAAGCTGTGACGATTCGGAATCATGTGTCTGCAGAGGTGTGTGTTCTGTTTCTGACTATGAATAGTTGTTTCGCCATCTGTAGGGATATGTGTGTATATCTGTGGGTGTCTCAGTAGAGGACATGAGGTTTTACATGGGTTGGAGCTCCATGGGAGTCTGTGCTCTTAACAATGGGCATGTGTACAAGTGTAAGAACCGTTGTGCAGGGTGTTTTCATTTGTAAATGAGGGCAACTAGGGAGGTAATGGTATGTCTGACTGCATCAAGGTGGGATGTGTGGTGTCTGTAGGGCCGGATGGAAGTTTAAGTGTGCATATTTGGTTTCAGATGATGATGGATATCTAAGCTCAGTTTGTGTGTGGAGAAGGGAACCCAGGCTGTGAGTGTCCACATGTGTGTGTGTATGTTGCGTGTTAGAGTGTGCAAGGCTCTGTCTTTGAGTTTGAGGCTTTTGTGTCTGAGTGTTTGGGAGCTGTCTCCTACCTAGATGCCTGGGCCTCTCTGCCTCCCTTACCTCTCTCACCGTCAGTAGAACCCTAGAGAAGGTGAGATAGGCATTGACTGGATGGCTCAGCAAACTCTGAAAAGAAGGGGGAGGTCTCAGGCAATCCCTCCCTGGAGAGTTCAGGGGAAGCCCCCTACCCCATCCTACCTCCACTCCAGCCCTCCCCCTCCCCTACTCAGCCCAGTGCATTTAGGATGGGATTTAGCCCAAGCCCTTGGGAACTGGTATGCCCTTTGGTTGTTATGGAGCAGAGGCAGCTGCGCAGGTGTGTAAGAGTGTGTGTGGATGCCTCGTGCTCCTGTAAATGATGTGAACAGGTAATCATTTGCATCAGGATGTACACAAACGTACCAGGCACGGGATTGCATCAACAGAATATAATGTGTGACTTTATACAAAACCCATCTCAGCCCAAGTTGTGACCGTGGGTCCCTCCTGTACCTGTAAGTGGGGCTGTGCCTGAGGGTTGTGGGTGTCCCTTGAGGGAGGGGCGGTAGTGAGAGCCGTGTGCATGTGTGCCTGCTGGTGCCTTTGTATGTCAGCGTGTCTCTGAGTCTCTTCGTCAGCAGCTCGGAGTTTCTATGTGTCTATATGTCTGTGTGTGTGTCTCTGGGTCGCTGCCTCGCTGTGTGTGTCTCGCTCTCCCTTGGCGGGGAGGGGATTGGTCACGCATGACTCATCTTGAACCGAGCGGGGCTCCAGAGGCAGGGCGGCCGCCGCCGCAGCTGGAGGGGGAGGAGGACGAGGAGGAGGGAGAGGAGGAGGACTACGAGGAGCGAGAGGAGGAGGAGGAGGAGAAGGAGGGGGCGGGGGCCTCTCCAAGTTTGTCGGGACCTTCTTCCGAGGCAGCGGCGGCAGCAGCCAGGGAGGCCAGGGCGGCGCGCGGGCCGGGGGCGGGGGCTG